AAAGTTCGGAGGCAATTACAGGTATAATTTAAAGCAATTGAAAGAACAGATATTAAATTAAGGTTTGTCAAATCCTAAATTAAAAACCCTAGTTTTTATTATTTAACCTAGACGATGCATCACTTAGATTTAGTGAAGGGATTGAATGATACATTGTTCAACCATTGTATATATTTTTTTTGCAGTAAGCATCTTCAGATAAATAAATATAACGTATTCGACCACATCAGGAGCTGTAACTATTACCACTTAACTTATAAAATCCTTTTTTATAAAGAAAAACAACTCTCATCAAACATTTACATCCCATTTTTTTCAATGAACTCAACAACATCTTATCCTTGATCAATCCTTACTACATTGACATATTCTAGGTTGATCAAGTTCACATCTTCAAATGAGTGAATGTGAAGCTACAAATATTTAAATCAAGCAAAGTTAGATCCAAATAAAAGGTGTGCACCCCCTCTACCAACTTCAAATGGTAGTAAACAATAATGACATCAGGGTTGCTCTAACAAGGCTTCAAAAATAGGTAACCCAATCATCGATGATTCTGATATCCATTATGCAAAGACCACTTTTTTGTTCATATGTTCACACTTCAAAGCTTTTTATAAGGTTCTTATTAAGAGTTTAAAACCTTTATCTCATGATCAAAATGCTAGAAATAGCTCATTGCCCTCTAAGTCTAGCAAAACCATTAAGAATCTTAAAAATCAAAACCACCATTACAAAACTAGCCAAGTAAAGAGCTTTGAGCTATGAAGATTTGTCCAAAACTCTTCCATTTTCATTAGAGGGACAAATATTGATTAATAATGATCAATCTTTGATTGAATCCATAAAAAACCTAGCAAAAACTTATAAATACCTTGGAGAATTAAGAGAGAGAAAAAATAAAGGAAAAGGCAGAAGATAAAATAAAAAGAAAGAAACTTAGTTATGAAGGTTTATGAGCCTAGCACAAGATTTTTTCTTAACTTTGAAAGGTTTGAAATTTATAGAGGTAAAGTTTTGCAAAAGAGAGCAAAAAAATATAACAGTCACTATTTGAATCTTTGAAAGTATAAAAACCTCATCTAACCTATTAGGTGATGTCCATGAGGCACGACTCTAACTCTTTCTTACCTTTTTTAATGACATTTTGTACTTGTTTTGGTGTCTCATGGAGTTGATCTTGTATCTTGATTAATATATGAAAATATTATTTTTCTTTACTTAATGTTGCTTTGAGTTGGTTGTTAATGTTATATGGATGTTTATAAAATGTTTGAATGTTATTTTTGCTGAGATGGTAGGAGTCGTCACTTAGTTTATGATAACTAGAAAACTCTAACTAATCTTCAAAGTTTTAGGTAAGGAGTTAATTATGCTAAAGGTAAGATAAACATCACCCTAAAATATTCTACTTAATACAAGCTACATTATTCTTGTTTTATAATGATAAAAATACCTATTGCGCTCACACTGAAATTTATTTAAACTAGTATATGCATTTTTGGTAAAGGCTATTAATCCTAAAAAAGTGGTTTAAGACCTGGGTCTGGCTACAAGGTTCTACTTTTAAAATTATACGAAGTAAAAAGTAATTTTTGGATTTAAAATTGACTTTCTAAAACCATAAAAAATGACCTAGAATAAGGCAAAACAATATCAGCATATACGTCTCATGCACTTATAATTTGAGTTGTAAGTTTGGTGACGACAAATGCTCCTCACACACTACTATTGACTTGCTAAAAATCCATAAAAGTGCTAGGATTTTAAAATAAAATTAAAGTTTTGACTTTTGGGATTTTTTTTAAAGATAAATAAGATGAGTTTTTAGTCATGTTTATGAATGATTTATTAGGAAAAAGGATAGATTTTGGTGTGATTTTAGGTTAAAATTTAGGATAGTCATGGCTTGGTTTTGTTTTAGTAAATAAAGGATTTTCTTTATCACTCTTAAAGAGAGAGAATGAGGTTGATCTATAATGTTTAATTGAATAAAAATAAAAGAAAAATCCAACTAGATAGTGGTATGGAATGGTTTTTTTTCTTTTTCCAAAGGAATTAAGGCTTATCTATTGATGATGGTTATGTGTTTCATAGTAGGGTGGTTGAAGAGACGGGTTAGCCAATAAGACAAAGTTGTAGCTTGTATGTCACAGTTGGTTGAAAGTTAATGGGAGAGAGGGTAGCTAAGGTTTGGTTTGTTATCTAGGGAAGAAAATGAAAAGTGTTTTTTCTCTGTTTTTTTTTGTTTGCACTGTGTACTCCCTTGAATTTTCCTTTGCTTTGGACTTTAATCTTTTATGAATTTTTTGATGTATGCTTTTATGAAAAGTTTTTTTCTGGACTATGTATCTATATATAGACTATTCACCAAATATTTTACTTTCATCCTAATATTTTATTTATTGATCTTGTATCTTTACCTGCTAATCATTTTATTTCTCTATCTCTTCATCCTTTTTTTAAGTTGTTTAGGACAAACTCAAACTATTTGTTATTTTATTTTATTTTGGACCCTATTTCTTCACCTGATTGTCATTTCACTCCATATTTTTTTTTTTTTTTTTTTAAATGTAGGGTTAAAGTCAGTTATGACTATTTTTTAGAACAAGATTCTTATAAGGAGGGGTATTGTTACAAAAGTTTGTTGAATAGCTTTGGAAGAAATCAATAGTAAGCTTTTAGTATAAGAATGAAAGCAATATCAGCAAGCAATATAATAGATAGAGTAGCAGTTAGTTAACATATTAGTTGGATAATAGTTAAAGAAAAGGAATTTATTGTGTAGTGTAATAGAAATGTGAAAGACAAACAATAAATAATTTAATTTTTGTAATACATCTTCTCAATCTCTTTTTCATTCTTTTTTATTTCATTCTTTTTTTGTCATTCTATACATTGCTTTGTTAAGGACAACCTTGACATAATTCAAGCCATGATCCATGAAAGGAAAAATATAAAAGTACTATATTTAAAATACAAGAAACATGTATGATTTTACTAAGAAAGTTTTTTAAAAAAAACTACAATTGAAATGGTGATTTGCTGCTTATTTACTAATGATGAATAATCATAAAATAAAATCATGATTATCTTTCACTAGTATGAATTTACTTTGAGTATCATAATAATATTCTATTAAAAAAACCTAACCCATTTTCATTATTTAGTGAACCTCTCCATTCAAGTTTAACATATGGCAAAGCCTCATGTATAGTTAACTAAAGAATTAAAAGAATTTGGTAACAATCACTGCTTATATAAACTCCTCAATTCTTATATCGTCTTTGCATTGTTTCTTGCTAAACAACTAAAAAAACTGAGGTGGTAATCACTCTTCATGTTAACACTGAAGCTGCTCTTTAATTCTTACATCATTTTTGCTTATTTTTTTTTTTTTACTGACTGAGAAATAAAGTGAGTGGGTTTAAAAGAGTAAAAAAAATCTTTTAGTTCTTTGCATTGTTTTTTTTTGTTTTTGTTTTTTTTTGTATTTGCATTGTTTTTTTTGTTTTTTTTTTTTTGTAAATTAAGAAATATAAAGAATGAGATAAAAGAATATTAACAATTTAAAACCCTTGATTACAATAGATTGCTCCTTGTGACCACAACAAAGATCAATTGGACAAATAATCTCACCATTGTAACCATCACAAATCATCCAGGATGATGATACTAAGCATGAAAGATCTCAAGAAAGAGAAAAGAGTGTAAATAGATGAGAGAGAACTCACAATTACAAATCATATTCCTACTTGAGGTGTAAGGACAAAGAAAGGTCATATGATGCAAGAGAGGAGAGAGAAAAGAGCAGAGAGATAATGTGCAAAAAGGGAGACAAAGAGAAACTAACAGGGAGGATTATTTAAAGAAAAAAATGGTGGTGTTTCGACCACAAATGTAAATTTTCCCTTGAATCTATTTTGATTTTCAATGCTTTTTTTATGTGTATTTGTTTGTTTGTTTTTTTTGCATAGTTATCAGACCCGGCCTAGCCTAACAAGTTGACTTGGGTAACCCAGGGTCTTGGTCGAGTCTATTTTTTGTGCATAGTTATCAGACCCGGCCTAGCCTAGCAAGTTGACCCGGGTAACCCAGGGTCTTGGTCGAGTCTATTTCATTCAAAACTCGGGCTTGCATTTGACCTAGAGAAAACTGTTTGAATTGTCAGGTCAACCTAGGACCTAGATGATTTGGCAGAACTCGGTAGAGATCATTTTAAAAAAAAAATTGTGTTTTTTCCCCTAGCCATAAACCCTTTTTTTCATCTTTTTTAGTTAGTTACTAATTCATATCAAAGTTTACTATATAAATACTAAAAAAATATTTTATTTTTGTAATGTAAAATTTAAAACCTATTAATACATTTACTTTATGTTCACAAGAAAAATATTATGTTTTTTTAATGTGAAATAAAAAAAATTGATATAAATACTTCAACTTAAAAGAATATGATAGTATTTTTTCAATATGAAATAAAAAACCTTTTGAAATAATCTTTTAGTATATATTTTTATGGATTGTTTCTTATTTTTTTTTTATATGAAATATTAAAATTTACATATATTTTTATGGATTGTTTTTTTTTTATATGAAATATTAAAATTTTAAATATATATATATATATTAATTGTTTTCAAATTAATCCGATTAATTCTTATGAGCTGAACTGATTTTTTTACCGGATCAACCCTAGACTAGGTTTGATATGTATGATTTTGTGGTATTCTATATAAGTTTTGTTTGTTACTGTACTAGAAAGATTAACTTAATTTTAACATGTAGAAGTGACATGAGAGTTTCTTGAATCATTGGAAAAAGAAAAGAGGATGGGAAGTCAATAAATTCATGCATGCCATCATTAATTAACGAAAACAACTAGAAGACCACAATGACGGTCCATTGACTGCTAATAAGTTTTTTCTTTTCTTGGTAGATTATTTGCATAGATATTTAAAGAAAGAGTCAAAAGTGACAGTTAAGATCACCCTCAATCCTAGGCTGACACTGTGCTCCATTAAAATCCGTCGACCTACCATGTCTCCTTACAGAATGGTGACTTTCACTTTCTTTCTGATATTTCGGATCACCACATGACCTTTTCTCAGCTACCTCAAATCGAATTCCCAATCTTTTTTGCCTCTCTCTCTCTCTCTCTCTCTCTCTCTCGAGAAATCTCAAATTGTTTTGAGATTCAACAACAATCCACCCGAACCGAAAGAAAAAAGGAGGACAAGAAAAGCCAGGAGACAAGACAAACCTAGTTATTCCTTTTCTTTTTCCGTTTGTCTTTGCTGAGCTTTCGTTTGTGGATTGTGGGTCTTTTATTTGTCTCTCGTTAGGTGGAGTCTGCGCAAAAATATCTTTTGGCCTTTTCTTGCCTCTTTTTCTTTGACGCGGCAAAAGTCAAGTGATAAATTAACTTTGCTCCCATTTTGGATTCTGTTCACTCCTTTTTCTTTCTTTCTTCGATATAACAAATTCTTACCAGTAATCTTTCTATCGTCGAATTTATTTTTTTTTGGGTTCAAAGTTTATAAATTTGTAGTTCATTGTTATAGATGTACTGCCGATCTTAAAGTTCATGTCTTTGGCTATTGGAGCTACATCAAGTTTGAGAAATATGGGGTTTGATGACGACAAGAAGAAGAAGGAAGGAGGAGAGAAAAGTGGAGTTCTGGAAACACGTGACGGGGATCATGATGGTGGAGTGAGGATAGGAAGGCAGATGAGTGAGAGTGAGACCTCTATGTATGCGACTGATCACGAAGAGGGGGATGATGAGAACGGAACCAACAAACTTCAGCTGGGTCCTCAGTACACCCTCAAAGAACAGCTTGAAAAAGACAAGGTTTGTTTTTTTTGTTGCTGTTATTATTTGATGTTCCATTTTTAGTTATGAAAATGCATTTGTTAATTCATTTTTCATATATTGGTGCATGGATTTTGGAAGTTCAGGATGATGAGAGCTTGAGGAAATGGAAGGAGCAGCTTCTTGGGAGTGTGGATTTGAACAAAATTGGAGGTGCATGCATGTTGTCATATTTTCTTTATCCTTATCTAAAATTACGCGAGTTCGTTGGATTTTAACTTCTGAAATTATTAAAATATATCTCGGTTTCTGTTAATTCTTTCATTTCTATAATTAATGATACATGTTCATGCAGAGAATTTTGAATCCCTTTCCTTGCGCGTATGCCGATCGAATTCTTGTGCCATGTTCTGTTAGCTAGAGTTGCTCATGTTCCAACCAACATAATGAAGAATTTTGAACAGAATTCTTTTCCTTTTCTTTTCATTATCGCAGAAACGCTTGAACCAGATGTGAAATTTCTTAACCTGTCGATCCTTTCTCCTGGTAGACCAGACATCGTACTTTCTATTCCTGAGAATGGGAAGCCCAAAGGCCTGTGGTTTACATTGAAAGAAGGCAGTCCCTACAGCTTGAAATTCTCCTTCCAAGTCAGTAATAACATTGTGTCTGGCCTCAAGTACACCAATACTGTCTGGAAAACTGGCGTCAAGGGTGAGCTATCTACATCCTGACTCGTGCCAAAACCTGTGCTACAAACACTTGAACGTTTCCCCACTTATAATCAGTCTTTGTTAACTCAGTGGACAGCACAAAAGAAATGCTTGGAACCTACAGTCCTCAGCCAGAGGCTTACACGCATGTTAATCCAGAGGAGACCACACCCTCGGGCATGTTTGCTAGAGGATCATACTCTGCAAGGTCGAAGGTTAGTTTTAAACTTTTTGAGGTTTTTCTTTGAATATAATCTCAAAAAGAAGAAAGAAATCTTCATTTTAATAATCTGCTAGTAAACAGTACTCTGATGCAAAATCACAATATGGCATCTCCCTTTAATTTGTCCTAACCATCTCTGTTTCTTTCAGTTTTTTGATGATGATAACAAGTGCTACTTGGAGATCAACTACACCTTTGGCATTCGAAAAGATTGGGCTGCTACTTGAATGATCGATCATTCTTCCAACAACCTTTTCACACATCTGTCTCACTCAGTTATAATTCTTAAACTACTACTACTACTAGTTCCATGTCTTCACTGATCTTCACGCCATGTTTAATTGTTGTCTCTAGTTCCATTAACCTCTTGTAATCATGTCTGCGGCCAGATATCTCACAGCAATAGAGACGAAGAAAGTGCAAATGGTAATTTTCTTTTTAATAAATGAAAGCTTAGCATGTCTTTAAGGTACTTGCCTTTTCTCTATTTCTGCAGTAGGTTGTGTAACTCAGGTTACTCGATGTTTATATGAAATAGCCTTTTCTCCATTTCTGCAGTAGGTTGTGTAACTCAGGTTACTCGATGTTTATATGAATTAGGAGTCACGAGAATATTTTATAGTCATGGAGACGATGGCTTTGATTGTGCGTGTCTATTTAAATTCCCTTCAGGCATTGCTAGAATATTGTGCTTGCTTTAATTTTTGTAAAACTCCTTGATTCTTTTCTTTTTTTTATTTATTTCCCTTCAGGCATTGCTAGAATATTGTGCTTGCTTTAATTTTTGTAAAACTCCTTGATTCTTTTCTTTTTTTATTTATTTCCCTTCAGGCATTGCTAGAATATTGTGCTTGCTTTAATTTTTGTAAAACTCCTTGATTCTTTTCTTTTTTTATTTATTTATTAGAATCCTCCATTGAGAAAAATATTCTTAAAATGCTTAAGAAATAAATGAAATTAATTTTTCAAAAAGATTAAAAAAAAGATTTTTCTTGAAAATCTTCGATCTAAGGAATAAAACATTAATATTTCAAAATGTAATGATTTTAGGTGGGCTGGTATTTTGTTTTAGGGGTTGGAAATCTCTTATTTGGGTCTATCAGTCTTGGGCTGTGAGACTTCAGTGAGCTGCATGAGCTCTTTGATAAGTGGAATCTACCCAACCCAATTCAATATACAATATTGTTTTCTTTCCTTTCCTTTCCTCGGCAACATCAACATATAATAATACTATATGACTCTCTCACGAAATGAAATTAACATTATCTTTCACCATGCAAGTTACAGAATCAAAACCGACCTCTAGAAGGGCCACCAGACTCGTCAACAACAAAAAAATGGAGCATATGAGCTTGAAAGGGCCACCGTAACTGCTATACACAGTTGAAAGTAACCTCCCATCTGACCTCTACCTCCTCCCTGGCTCCAGGTTGATATTAGCCTTTCCCAGCTTGTCAAGAATCCAACTTGGCCCTGGACTTTTCTTTTCTTTTTCCCCAAAACTCTTCTTGCTAGCAATGATTATTCTCACAGGAGAAAGGGAGAGCTTGTTGGGAATGGCAAGTAACCTTTAAGCTACTCTTTCGAGTGTTAGATTAAGTTCTTAATCAAGTTGTTAACTGAGAAATTGAATTTAACTGTATAGATGGGTGGAATCAGATTATGTAAGGTCGTGATTAGTCGATGAACACACGAAGAGACCCTCCACCGAAAATTGTGTATTTAGCTCGCTAACCCTCTTGATAATGATATTGATTAGTTTAATTGTAATGCCATGATTTCTTAAAAACAAAAAAACAAAACCCATGTGCGAAAATCAAGGTCTAACCAACTAATGTGGTCGATCGGTCTTGATATTGCCACCAGACCTTCACCAAGCACAAAGACAGAATAATCTTCTTTATGGTTTTTTTTTAACTTCTAGGTTCACAAGACAAATCCCACCTTCCTAACCCGAAGTCAATGTTGATTAAGTTATGATTAGGGGATTAAACTTGCCCGATGTCCTCAAATCTCCTTGACTTCACATGCCTCGTTCTTTAATAAATGTCAGTAAGGATACAGGTAATAATAAATCATCACTTGAGATGCTTCATTAATTTGTTTAATTTCTGAAGTTTGAATTGCAAAAGAAAAAAAAAACCATATAAGAATAAAATCCCAACTCCTAGTTGGAACTTGGTAGCAACGCTAAGATACAATGCAAAAATAATTTTCTTTTATTTCCTTAAAGGGTAATATATACATATATATATATATATATGTTCTTCTATAAATAACATTTTTTTTATATTACGGTATTATTATTTACTAAATGTAAAAGAAAATCTCTACAGAAAAACAATGTGAGGTTTGGTTATATGAAAGATGGCTTTCATGTGATGAACATATTAATAATATTTGAGTTAATTCCTACGTTTAATTTTGGTCAACTTATACACTAAGCACAATTAAGTGTCGGTGGAAAATATCGAAGAAACGATGACGTTTCCCTCGTAAAAAATGAGATCCTTGAATTCTGAGGGTCAAAGGTGGAATTTAGGGGCTGGGACAGCGAAATGCTGGTTGGTCCAAAAATCATGGCGGGCCCTCACTCTTGACCACCAAGGCACCACCCTCACCCTCCATTATTTCACACCAAAGCCAAGCCCTACGATATTTTGATTCCAAAAAACTCTCTCACTTTCGTTTCCATATCTGGGGTTTTCCTGATTTGCTTTGTTTTTATTTTTGACCAATTTGATGAGATGTAATTCAATGTTCTTTTCTTTGAGAATGTAGACTTAAATTGATTTTTAAATCAAACTAAAATTGATAATTTTATAAATAAAATAATTTTTAAAATTTTTATTGTGTTACTTAAAACTAAGATTGAGCATGGTTTTGATTTATGAGAATCAATAATTTTTTTATAGTCAAATGAAATTGAAGGATTTATTATATAGCATTGGAAATTACAGTAACTGTATTTTGATTGATTTTTGAAAAAATTATGGTTTTAAAATGTGTTTTTTAGAAGAAAAAAATAAATTTTAATCACAATAACATAGAAAATTAAAACAATGGATTTCCTTTTTTTATTCAAACATTAGATAAATCAATGAATTTCATCTTGGTTTTATAATGAATCAATAATTTTTATTCAATATTTTTTTGTATTTTGAGAGCATCCAAATCTAAATCTATTATAGGGTAATAACCTAATTAGATGTTAGTTTAGCAATCTATTAGCTTTGATATACTTGGGTTTTGTTATAAGATGGGTCCAAGGTATTATAAGTCTAACAAATTATCAGATTTAATATACTTGTGTTCAGCTGTGAGTTAAGCTCAAGTCTTTATAAGTTTGGCGAATTGTCAAACCTAATATACTTGAGTTTATTTATGAGTTAAATATAAGTTATTATGGGCCTAACGAGTTGTTAAGCATAATATACTTGGATTTGACTATGTGTTGAGCTTAAGGCATCGTGGGTCTAGTAAGATGCTAGACCCAACATACTTTGGATCAACCATGAGCTAAGCTTAAGGTACGATGAGTCTGACAAATTGTTGACCCAATATACTTGGGTTCAGTCATGAGTTGAACTTAAGCTATCGTGAGTTTGATGAATTGTCAAACTTTTTTCCTTTAAATTAGGCTATATATCAAATCCAACTAGTCTTGTAAAGCTATATTATGACCATATCGATCTATTTTTAGATTACTAACAAGACCTATTCATGTCAGGAATAATTATCTCTCACACATGTAGTTGTATAGAATATCTTTCAAGGCCTACTATATTTTCATCTCATTAATGTTTATTAATAATCTGTAAGGGATATTTATCCCTCATTAATGATCTGTAAATGATATTTATTTTAATTCATTAATAATATGTTATATATATAACATCCTGGATTTTTTACTGCAGTTATTTTCATTTCAAATAATCAAAGTACATAAGAATTTGAGTAATTTTTTTAAATCAAAATACTTATATCTTTTACATTACATTAACATAAGATTTATATGTCTTTACTTAGTTTATTATAAAATTTTAGCCGTGTTTTATTTATACAAAACTCTTATTTATAACCTCAACCTGTCAAATTCCTGTATAATTCCACATAAATATCACATTCAACAACTAATACCTAGGTAGCCCACATACTTTTAATTCATCATTCATTGTCTACACCACTATAATATCCTTTACACATATATAGAGAAAACTCTTATCCATAACTTTAGTCTGTCAAATTTCTATATAATTCCACATAAATATCACATTTAATAACTAGTGCCTCAGTAGCCTAGGCATACTCTTAATCCATCATTCATATATATGTGTGTGTGAGAGAGAGAGGTCCTTATATCATTATAACATATATGTATAAAGAAAATCGAACTTAATTAGTAGTTTTATATTTCACTAGATAAAAACTTAAAAAGAATACACATATATTTTAATTAATTACATAACAGAGCATAAAAACAATAAAACTCTACTGAAGATGGCTATAAAGACCTAACAACCATACTTCTAATGTAATGATAGATGTGATATACTTGAAATATATATATATAAAATTAATCATTTTAATATAAAAAATTATGCATTTTATTCATGAAACATATATTTATATAAAACAATATGCAATATCCTTTTTATCACATTCTTTTTCACCTTTTACCTTTTTTTTTTTAAATTGATAGTAAAAAATACGTTTATAAGTCTTCATTAGGTTATCTCATTTCTTAATAACACTTGTCTTAATATTCTTTATACACAATAAACTTCATATAAATGGTATCCTATGATATCCAAGGTTTATTAGCCATAATTGCAACAACAATCCCAACCTTTAAATCCAATTTAAACATAACAATCTCAATTCATTATACAATAAATAAAATCTTTTAAAATAATTATTATCTCTATAAAGATTTTCACATAGTTTCCTTTTAAAATAGATCATTCTTAAATTATCGACCTAAACTTGTTGTACTTGTACTCATAGTCTCAATCCCTTAATTCAGTGATCCTATATGATACTCTATGTCAATTATATTCCAATAATTTCAAACCATCCAATATCATGTACAAATAATTATATAACACATTCATTATAAAGTGTTGATAAACAAATAACATAATTTCATTAAAAAAATTACGTTAGATAAATATAACTAGGTTCTTTTTTTTTTATATTCTCGTGCTGACAAGTAAAATATTTTTATCTCATTTACTTATAGTTCATTTGTCTTTTATCTAAATTTTCAACATCTAACATAATATTATTATCTGTCACCTATAAACTTGCTCAATTGATCGATGTTGATAACAATTTCTAAATTGATATCATTAACCATCACCTCGAGTGTGACTAATTAATGGTATGTCGACACCAATCCCATTAGTATCATTCACCTCCATTTCATTAGATATCTAATCAAATTTTCTAGTACATGTCGGTGCCAATAAACTTATTGACATTATTAGCCTTCTAATTTTCTTTTTTAGGAATTGCTAATTAAGTCCTTTTTTTATTTATATATTCCTTTTATGTTTATACTGATACTAATAAACTTAATTGGTATCATTAGTTCCCCAAATCAGGAATAACTAATCAAATTTAAAAGATATCAATACCAATATAATTCATTAGTATCATCAGTCTCCTAAATCGGAACAACTAATTAGGTTTAAAAGTTTCTGATACCAATACAATTATTGGTATCATTAGTCTCTCAAAGTAGTGACACGATCATAGAGTTGATGTCTTATCCCAAGTGTAGGAGTCTCAAAGTAAAATAACCCGGTAAGACCGGGATCGAACCACAGGGAGGTGAATTATATAAATTACAAATAAAGAAAAAGAGTTGAAGAAAGTTTTGGGATGTGATATTGATGTAAGGATTAAACAATAACAAAACATATGTCAAGGTTATAGGATTCACTAATGGTATTTCAAATAAATATAATATAAACTCTTTTTATTACTCAACTAGAAACCACACACAAAGAAGGTTCTAATCGGATGATTTCTCGTTATTAGCTCATTATAAATTACTAACATGATCATATTAATTATCTTATATAAGTAATACCATACTTATAAATATCATCAAGCATTCATGTTGCTAGTTTATGTTAACAACAAATCAAGTTTCTATCATAATAACGATTTCGGCCGAAAACTATGAAAGATCAAGCATTTGATGTACCAAATATTATACAACACAAATCTAAATTAAACATTTAATAAGCAAGGTATTAAGAATTAGTAAGATAAAAAGATAAAACATGTTAATAACAATCTTTCTTGGATATAAACATTTAAAGCTCATGTTGAGTTTATATTATACCTATTCTAACACCATTAGAGAAACCTTTTCACCTTGACATAATTAACTTAGCTAAACATTAAGAAGGAGAAAAACACAAATAAACAATATAAGAACATAAACATAATATAAGCTAACTAAGTATAGGAAAGGAAATGAAAGAGCATAAACAAGAGATTACTATAGCATAAAAGAAAACTTGAACATTACAAAGATGTAGAGAGAAAGCAAGAAGATAACTTTGATCTGAAAATTAATATGACTAAATACATGGACAATGCCTCCTTTTATAGGCTAAGTTTCAGAACTATTGATTGATTGAAGAATTGGTGGGCATCCATTGATTTGGTGGCTGGTTTTTGACATTAATGG